TATATTTATGCAAACACTACTTTCCAGTTCAGGATCAGCAAAGTAGAACATATTATCTGAACAAATTCCAAAATGATACAATAGCATATGACCACATGTTCTGCTTGGAAAAAGTGTAGACTGATCGAAGGCTGTTTTCAATTCCCTTGTGCAGAATAGGTACTGATTAGGCTCTATGACTGTTTCTGAAGCGTAGCTCTACTTAGATCAGAAGAAACTCTCTGGCTAGCTTGAAATTTCCCTACAGCTGAGCTATTGTTTTAAATATATTCTGCATTAAATAACTGATTTACAAACAAATTATCCTTCCAAAATATAAATAGGCATGTTGTCTTTTCTCAATGAACATTTACAAATAATTTGAGTAAATACACTGTCATTGACTTTGTTTTTGTCAGTGTGAACACTGTCACGTAAATGGCATATGAACCTACACAGAAGACCTAAAACCGGTCCTATGGACATACAAATAATTGCACAGAATCGAACAATAAAGTTATAGCGATTGTCATATTGTTAGCTCATTTCAATGACCCAGGTAATAAGTGAAAATGAGTTCAAGCTGAAATCTGAAAACTCCTTTCCTCCACCGTGTGATGCCATAACTTGCAATCAGGGCTGGATTTTTGAAACTCCCTGATGGAGCAGACACACCTCAGTAAAAATATCCCCACATGACCCTGTTTTTGGCTGGTGAGGCGATTAGAATACATTTGGGCTTGCCAGCTTATAAAGCCAATCACAGGTTGTCACAGAGGCCAAGAGTTGTCTCAGGAGGATGGTTCAAAGACCTAGCTTAGTACTCTGGACCTCAGTTATCTTGGAAACTGTCAGGCTCACTAGCTTTCACATCTCATACCGTCCTTACTCATCACCCATCATATCTTCTCCATGCCAGCTCATGACTCCATCCAGCCAATGCCCCTCATATTCTCCATACCACCTCCAAGGCAATCTCCAGTATCCAAGATGGGCAAGCTTCAGATACCATCAGGAGATCGATTTTTTTTCCCATCTAAAACAACTTTCATTCATGCACACTTGTTAGTGAAACAATCTCCCCCTAATGAAATCCATTCAAAGCTTGTAAATCTCCTCAACTGGTCAATCTTTTATAAGTACAGCCACAATTCTATTCAGCAGCCTGCTCAGAGGCAATTAATGCTCATTAGCTACTTTAAACTGTCAATCAATGTAGAAATTAGAATGCCTTACTGAGATAATTTTAGCTTATTTAACTCAGCCAAGTATTTGCATGTTATGACATAACAACAGCCTTTGTGAAATATTGACAAATAACTCAACCGAAAAACAACAGGGTCGGTTTGATTTTCTAACTTACACCAAATGGCCTGTCAATCATAGCAATCCGGCATACTTATTTTTCAAATAATGCACACTGATTGTTAATTTCTTTTAATCCCGAGTTTAAGAGCAGGTAATTAAAATAATTCCATGACACATAGCAGACCTGATATACCCAAGAGCATTGACATCAATTCCATCAATTTGCATGTCCCACACAGCAGGTTAAGACCCTCAGGACAGCCAAAACAGATCCTGTCAGAACTCAAAGCTAATCTCAACTGGCTATACTGAGTTCAGATTTTCCCCTTGTTGAATCATGCCCTAGTGGTTAAAAAAAAAAACTGGATCTGCTGGAACTGAAGAAATAGAAATCCAGATCCCATCCCCATTTTTAAAGATCCATGGAATTGGGAAAACTTGACGAAAATCTGACTTATCTATTATCAGAGTTGGGGACAGATGTCAAAGAGGAGTCTTGAGTTGCATTTTTAGCAGCACAATCAATATTTATTCAGAGCTCTCTTACCACACAGCGTGGGAGAGGCCAAAGACTGCTCCGAATCTGACTTTCACATGGGCCCCAGTTGGCCTCTTAAATCTGGCTCAGATTGGAGGCAAGGTCAGTGACACTCTGGCTTTGCCAGCTGAATGTGGCAGTGGCTCAGTGGTTAGCATTGCTGCCTCACAGCGCCAGAGACCCGGGTTCAATTCTAGCCTCAGGCAACCCTCTGTGTGGAGTTTGCATATTCTGCCCGTGTCCTCCAGGAGCTCTAATTTCCTCCCATAGTCCAAAAAAAATGCAGGCTAACTGCATTAGCTATGGAAAATGCAGGGATAGGGTATGGGGGTGGTATGCTGTTCAAGGGGTCAGTACAGTATGAATACAGTATTTTTATACATTTCATATTACAATGATTACATGCAACGCTGATGTCATTGTTCCATCCCTCTATTCTATACATCCAATCCTGTAAAACATTCAATCAATGATGAACACTCCTGTGGACATCCCTGGCTTCCATATGATCCCATGATGTTCACCAGACATCGCTATCGTCAGGCCCTGGAATCTTACAACATACCCCATTAATTTCCATTCAAATGTTAACAGTAATACTCTTTCTCAGACATTTTTCAGACTTGGTTATTGCTAAGGACTGTTGGAATTCTGCTATGCATTGTATTCATTGCTATCCTTAACAAGTTCTATTACTCATCTTATACTTCCTAGTATCCTAATCACAGAAGATACAAAAAGATGCTAATTTCTATTAATTGCTATAAAATTCATAATATCACTTCTAATATAAAGTTAGTTTATGTATAAAGTTATATGGTTACACTCAATGTTGGAATTCTTTAGCCAAGAAGTTGTGAGCAGCTTCTGTCCCATCTGATCTCGAAAGTTCATGTAAACACTGCCCCTCTATCCGACAGCTGCAACTATAACTCATTCTAGTCATATGCTGCCTTTTAAGCTAAAATTTACTGACCCTACTCCAAGTATTTCTACATTAACTCTTCTATTTAATAAGACAACATCTATTCCATTAATAAGACTGAAATTCAATCACTTTCACAGCTCAATGAACTTGTCTGAACTCCTAAGGTTTTACAAGATATCATTTCATTCTCCTTTTACCTTATCATTTGTCTCTGTTATTGGAGTATCATACTTTTCTTTTAATTCTTGTTAAATTACAAACTTTGGGCTGTCTGTTCCCAGGTATCCCTTATCAGGCTACCTCTTATAGTTGTGGTTTGTACAGAACTCCCTGCATATTAATTTGTAAGATTCTTTATTCTGCCTAGACCCTGTTACCTTGGGTTTATCTTCTCCTCAAAGCTACCATTGTCCTAAATTGTGATCTCAATTTAATACTGAACCAAACAAGCTAATTTTGATATTGCAGCTAAACATCTTCTCCGCCATTTCTATGCTAATGAAAAATCCAGAGGCTACCATTTTGCGTCATCTTTGGCCATGGGCTTCCCCAATAATGAGCTTCTTAATGAATTGGTAACTGTCCAAGGAGCAATTCCAGATAGAAGGTTGTTTCTTTTTCACAAGCTTGGCTAGGCACTTAAACATACTCAGTAGTTGTAGCAATTAGCTGAATGTAAGTTAAGAAGGGTAAAAAGATAAATTACATTGGATTGCTAAAGTTTGATGATTATTTCTGGAGTGATGAATTGAAATCTAGCACTCCAGGATGTCAACCCTACAGGCATGTACTTAGAACTTTGCACACCAGGGATCCCAGGCTTAATCAAATTTTCCTTCAGTAAGCAATGACATAAACCATTGACAAGCTCTGGGACACAATAATGTTTCTGAAAAACTCTGAAAGTGTGTGACTATCAATGGCCCCACTTTCAAATGTAGTGAGATTCAACTAAGAAAACATCTTGCATTTTCTTATTCTGAAGAGAATTAACTTTGTCTGACCTCAGTCAGTTTTTTCCTTTGAGAGGCAGAATAAAAAGTTTAAGAATTTTTACATCTGTAATGAATTATATTATCCATTTTCTATGTTTAACTACTGCTATACCTAGTGCAGACATGAGCTCTTTTGAAAATTAGTTGCAAGTACATAAATTCTAAAATCCAGCAGCATAATCCCCTAGACAATATTTGTTCTGTAAATCCACATAACCCTACAGTGTGGAAATAGGCTATTTGGCCCAACAAGCCCACAACAGCTCACTGTCCTACTCTATCCCCGTAGCCATGCATTTCCCATGGCTACCCCACCTAACCTAGCCATCCCTAGACACTATGGGCAATTTAGCACGGCCAACCCGCCTAACCTGCATATCTTTGAACTTCAAGAGGAAACTGGAGTACCCAGTGGAAACCCACGCAGACAACAGGAGAACATGCAAACTCCACACAGACAGTCATCCGAGGCTGGAACTGAACCACTGAGCCACCTTGCCATCTTTTACTACTCAAAAAAACAACATAACTTCAACAACCTTTATTTGCAGAGTGTTATTATTAGGAGTTTGACGTTAGCAGCGACATGAGCAAAACAATCCAAAGTGTCTTCCTGGAAAACTTTATTGTGAATATTCTAAGTAAAAGGAGACCTTGTGGTGCAGTAGTAGTGGCCTTGCCTCGTAGCCAAAAGAAAAACACCACCCCAGGTTCAAACCCCCACTCCAGGATGCATTGTGGGAGGCATGGTGGCTCAGCAGTTAACACTGCTGCCTCACAGCGCCAGGGACCCAGGTTCGATTCTGTCCTCAGGCGACTGACAGCGTGGAGTTTGTATGTTCTCCCTGTGTCTGCATGGGTTTCCTCCCACACTCCAAAGATGTGTACGTTAGGTGGATTGGCCATGCTAAATTGCCCTTTAGTGTCCAGGGATGTGCATGCTCTAGGTGGATTAGCCACGGAAAGTGCAGGGTTACAGGGATAGGGACGGGGGTGGGTTTGGATGGTATGCTATCCAGAGGGTCAATAAGGACTCAATGGGCTGAAAGGGCTACTTCCACACTATAGGGATTCTAAGTTCTCTGATTACCAAGGAAGTAGCATTCGTTAGGTGACTAAACCAGTTCATTAGCAAGCTGTGAATCCTTTCAACACACACCAATGGTTGGCAGTAAGAATGGGAGAGATTCCTGGTCATCCACAAGGGTGAAAGATAATTGGAGCCTTGACCATCATTACACAGAGTTCCAGGCTGCAAAATGTCTATATAAACATACGTTGCCAGAGCAACTCTGATTCTTTGGGACTCCACTGAATTGGTGTGGATCAGATTGGTGCCCATAGCACTAGATTCAAACCCCTGGGGTGGATTTTGTTCCGACCTACTTGTCCAACCTGTGGAGCAGACTGTAGTGCTATTGGTCAGACCTGCTGACAGGCAGAGAACTCAAAAAGATACTTAGAAGTTTAAAAAAAAGATTGACATCAACAACTCTCGGAGAAAATATTCCATGAATGAAAATTAACACTTCTGTTATAATGAATTGTTTCTAAATGCCACGATGTTTTGGAATGAACAGCTAAGGAATTAGATCTAGATGTACATTATGATTATATTACGAAACACTGGACTTTTAGTCTCCAAAAGTGGAATAACACAGGATTCAGTTAATAGGGTTTGCCCTTGAATGTCTTTAGATGAAAACTGATGATGATGATATCTAATGATAGGGCATTAATATTGCATCAACTCATCATAAATTGACAATCAAAACTGAACTTCCAATCTTTCTTGCTGTGCACCGGATTTACTATTCAACACATTAATAATGAACTGCTAAGATTCAGTTCAGGCTGACTCCATTTAAGATCACCAGAACTCTGCAGCAACCTTTACGGTGGTTGGTAATGGGCTTCAGACTTCAATTTACATTTTCTTTGAGGAAAATGGATATAATTGTGCACTTTCAACCATGGAAACTTTTCAAATGTGACCCTGTCTGACAGCTAAGAAGTAGGTCTTCCCTTTCTGTGTACTGTAGGGTATTGTATGAAGCAGGCTAGGACAAGCTTACCCCTAGTTCATCAGCTATTTAATAGCTTACATATACTGTCTTATTTGGAGAAGCTCAGTGTGGAAAACTGCCATGTTTATTTAATTCTTTATCAGAAAATTCTTATCCATTTCTCAGGTGCTAACTCAATCAGCCGAGCACTTCCAGCAGGTTATATTTTGTTGCACAAATATGATGAGATCGAAGTTACTCAAACAATCCCCTTTTAATTCCAATTTCTTTACACCAATACTCAATAAATTATTGATTTCCTACTGTAAAAACATTTCCTAGCTTCTTCTGTTGATAACAATTGGCAAATCAATTTTGAAATTAATATTGTTATATCTGCTCAGTGATCAGAAATAAGAAGGAAAAGGAATTTTCTTTGGTTCAGGATTACCTTTAGTTGCCTCCTGACACGATCTATGAAGAATTTCCAGCAATTTTCCCTAGTGTCTATCAATCCCAGTCCTTTGACTTCGTTCCGTACATTGTTAATAATATTTTCTACCTCTTCATCAGGTAACAGGTCAGGAATTTCACCTATGGGCAATAGAGGTGAGGAACAGTACATTAGGTAAGTCATATAAAATAGTGTTCCATAATCGTCAATAGTGATACATGATAAACAAATTCTAAACACACCCTTAGGTGGCCATAAAAATTTTGCAGAGCCCATTTTTCACCTGGTACAAAGATTTTTGCTTCAAGAGAAAAAGCAATTTGCATTTGCTTATTTATTAAGAGATATTTATGCAGTTCAGATGGAAAGTTCATTCACAATGGCTTTCTGCCCAAGGGCACCTTACAGATTCAGCACTGGAGATAGAATGGGACTTACTACAAATCAAAATGACACATGTGCTGGCATCCTGAACTACCTATTTTATTGCTGCTGTCATTAATCAATAAAATCTAATGCTATTTTAGCCCTGCTTATAAAGTCATAACAGTGAAGATTGAACAAGCCACACAACACAGGATTTTCTGTATTTACACTCTCAGCACATTAATTCCTTCACACAAGGGTATTTTAATTTTGCTAGAAGAGTCATTAACTAGCATATAAAAGTTCACAACAGTTAACAGAGTTATTGCTTCAAGCCAAAACTGGACCCTGTTGTGACTGGACCAGAAATTGCATCACGTAGAAGTGAATAAATAGATAATGTTTAACGTGATCTCCTGGTTGGGTTTCATCTCTCTGAGGGGATCCGAGAGGGAATGTTCCTGTGTTTTTGCTTTCTACTGTCAGCCCTAGGTTTTGTTCTGATTTTCTTCCACAACTTATTAAGCTGTAGGGAAATAGGTAGAGACACCTAGCTTTGATGGACTGTTTCACGAGCATGAGACAAGTTTGAGGGACCATCCAATCTTTTCCTGCCCATCATTTACAGGTACTTGTAAAATGAAGCAAATCCATCTTCTTTTCTCAAGGCACCCAAATCACGATACAAATGCACATTCATGTCCTGAAAGATGTATTTCTTTCCAGTACCTGGCTCTCATGTGTGACCAGGGGAATAAGATTCCCAGAATGTGTGAAGGGAGAGAGGGTGAGGGTATGGAAATAAGATAGCATATGATTAGTCAACACAGTGTGGAGCTGAAAGAACATAGCAGGTCAGGTACCATCAAAGGAGCAGGAAAGTCAACATTTCGGGTTTAGCAGTCCTGGTCTGCTGTGTTCCTCCAGCTCCATACTGTATTGACTCTGAATCCAGCATCTGAGTTCTTGCTATCTCCTAGAATATGATTAGAACTAGTTACACATGTGGAGATTACACCCTGATAATGGAATGGTTCATGTTATAATTTATGTGTATTTATAGTAATATATTCCTGGTTTCAATAAACTAATGGTGAGCTACCAACATCATTCTCAGCTGTCTGAACACATTGTTAACATTTTCTTTATGTGGAATTTTGAAAATGTTTCTATTCAGATAGTATAAATGAAATAGAGATAACAAAGTGTGGAACTGGAGGAACACAGCAGGCCAGGCAGCATCAGAAGAACAGGAAAGCTGATGTTTCGGGTTGGGACCCTTCTTCAGAA